TAAGAAATAATCCTTGTCATCTAGAACTACTTTAGTGCATCCATATTCTGGGAGAAGAACTTTATCTCCAACTTCCACACTAACTGGTTGAATCTCTCCACCCTTTCCTTTAGAGCCTGACCCAACAGCCTCTACTGTTGCTTGCAATACTTTTCCTTGAGATTTTTCTGGAAGCATAATGCCTCCTTTGGTTACAGTTTTGGCTGTACACCTTTCGACCAATACTCCATCAAGAGTGGAAGAAACTTTGTAAATGCTTGTCCTGCCATGGCTCCCACCTCCGTTGCCACCACTCTGTTTTTTAATTTTTATTTTTTTTGTGTGTGTGTCATACTGCGTTTGTGATATAAGACTAGTTACCGGGCCAGGTGTGGTGACTCATGCCTGTAATCCTAGCGCTCTGGGAGGCCAAGGCAGGTGGATTGCCCTGACCTCAGAGGTTTGAGACCAGCCTGAACCAGAGCGAGACCCCCGTCTCTAAAAAAAACCCAAAAAACAACCCCCCCCCCAAAAAAAACTAGAATAGTTACCAGGCCAGGCACGGTGGCTCACACCTGTAATCATAGCACTCTAGGAGGCGGAAGTGGGAGACCAGCCTCAGCCAGAGCGAGACCTTGTCTCTACTAAAAATAGAAAAACTGAGACAAGAGAATCGCTTGAGCCCTAGAGTTGGAGATTGCTGTGAGCTAGGACGCCACGACACTCCAACCTGGGCGACAGCTTGAGACTCTATAAACTAGCTGGGGCTTCGTGGTGGGCGCCAGTAGTCCCAGGTACTCAGGAGGGTGAGGCAAGAGGATCGCTTGAGCCCAGGTATTTGAGGTGCTGTGAGCTATGACGCGATAGCACTCTGTCTCAAAAAAAGAAAAAAAAGAAAGAATAATTACTAATAAAATCCCTTACATACAGTCAATTTTCCCACTCGTTCTATTTTAGCCTCCAACGCGGGAGGAAGCAGGTATTTTCATTCCAAGTTATGGTTGTTATGGCCATTGTTCCCATTTTGAGGCGATGGAGTCTCTTCCTTAGCCGGACTGAAACGCCAACGACCTCCACCGCTAGCCCTACCCAACTTCTTTCAACTCTAGCTTTACTACGGCTGCCGCAGGTCTTAGGATCTGAGACAGAGCCGGCCTGACGCCCACACCATTTGTCCTCAACGCGCCACCGTAGCCCGCCCGTGCCCTCCCATGGCGTTCCTTCCTCTTGCCCCGGCGCGAGCGCCGCAGTGGGCGGGCCTCCGCCGTGCGTCCCTGCGTGAGTCCGGCCCCCGCGAGCTCTCTGCCTGCTTCTCTCCAGCTTCTTCCTGCTCACTACCGTCACCGTCATGCTGGGCACTGCTCTCCGCCGCTGCGCTGTAGCCGCAGCCTCCCGGGCCGGCCCTCGAGGCCTCCTGCACCCCACCCCGGTCCCCGGCCCCACCGCCGGTAAGGCCCTTGTCTGCCACTGCCCGCGCCCTCGTGTCCTTGCGGTGACCTGGGCCCCCGCCGCCACTCGAGGGCAGGCTCCCCCCGCGGCCTAGCCCCTGCCCTGCGGGCCGCCCGGCAGCCGAACCTTGTGATTTCGGGCCATCCCGGCCAACTCTCGCCGCCTAGAGTTGTGGAGCCCTTGAGTACGCGCCCCCGATGCCTGTTTCCACGCGACTTTCTGGCGCTGGCCCCGCAGACGGGTCAGGTGTGGACCTGCCGAGGGCACTGAGGAGAGGACTCGGCGCTCTCCTTCGGTTCCCGGGCCGTGACCGTGCCCCGGCGCCGACCCTGCGGCCACCTGACCGGGAGTGGCTGCCGCCGGCCTGCAGCGCCTTGGCGAAGGTGACATTGAGCCTCCGGGCGCGCCCTAAGCGTAGAGGCAGGGTGGCCCCTCCAGGGACCCCAGCACCGCTGCCTGCCCCCAGCGCTTGTGAGGGCTCATTATGCTTCCTTGTGGGACGCATTATTATACTTTTAAATCAAGCATTTCTTTGCGTCTTGTGTGTCACCTTCACAGCCTGTCTGTCATTTTTAAGGACTGCTGGGCCACGTTTTGATTCTTCCAAGTTAAAAATAGATCGACGTCTGTGGTTGTTTGAAGAGAGCCTGAATATATTGATAGATCTTATGATGATATTACTCTTGAAAATTGGATACCGCAGACTCAGGAATGAAAAAACTGTGTTTTTTTCACCTTTGAATTAGGAGCTTGATTGCCGATGTGCTAATTCATCGTCTTATTTTTCTCCCCATTATATGTGTTCTGCGACATTTTGTGTTCAGTACTGTACTTTTTTTTTTTTCCGCCGGGTCTGGGTTTGAACCGGCCACCTGAGGCAGATGGGGCCGGCGCCCTACTCCTTGAGCCACAGGCGCCGCCCATCTGGAGTTTTTTTTTTTTTTTTGAGTACTGTACTTTTGATTATAACAACTGAACTTTGTTCTTGGTCCATGATGGTAGTATGTGCTATATTATGAAATTTAGTTCCTAATCATGCGTATTTACATCTGAGAATTCAGAAATTGAAACTAGCAACTTTGTTTCCCTGACGGGTTTAGGTATATTTTAACTCAATATTTCAGAACCTAAGGAATATGTTTTGCTTCATTCAACTTTATCATTTTTAATTTATCATAGAACAGCAAAGTTTGAGTACATTTGTAGGCTATGGGGACCATCTTGTTTTACAGAAGCAGAAACTGAAATCCACCTTAGAAAACTGACTGCTTTCTTAGTGGTGGAACCACTTTTTTTTTTTTGAGGCAGAGTCTCACTTTGTCACCCCTCGGTAGAGTGCTGTGGTATCACGGCTCACAGCAACCTCTAGCTCTTGGGCTTAGCTGATTCTCTTGCCTCAGCCTTCCAAGTAGCTGGGATTACAGGCGCCCGCCGCAATGCCTGGCTATTTTTTTGTTGCAGTTTGGTAGCTGCCGTGTTCAAACACACCACCCTTGGTGTATGGGGCCAGCGCCCTACTCCTGAGCCACAGGTGCTGCCCAGGAAGCACTTTTGTTTTTTAGCCATAGTTAAGTTAGGTTTAGACCATCCTGAGATTGTCAGATTTGGGGTGGGGGGGTGTTTCTTTCCTTATGTAATTGGTAAGGTATCAATATTAATTTTTTTATATAGCTAGATTTTGGAAGCATAGTCTTGACCTCTTGAAAAGAATTGTTACATTTTGTGGCAGTTTGGGGAAATGGCAAGGGTTTTTGGTAAACTGTAGCTTAAGGGGATGCTTCTTTTCCTTTTTTTTTTTTCTTTAGACAGAATCTCACTATGTTGCCCTTGGTAGAATGCCATGGCTTTACACCTCACAGCAACCTCAAACTCTTGGGCTTAAGTGATTCTCTTGTCTCAGCTTCACACGTAGCTGGGACTACATACAGGTGCCCGCCACAATGCCTCACTAATTTTTTGTTGCAGTTGTCTTTGTTGTTTAGCTGTCCTCGGCCAGATTTGAACCCACCAGCCTGGATGTATGTGGCTGGCATCCTACCCACTGAGCTACAGGCACAGCCTGATGCTTGTTTTCTTAGTGGTTTATCTCTTAGATCTTGTATTCCCCCTCCTGAGTCTAATTCATAGACTAAGAACATTTTCAGTACTTGTCCTGTAGATCTAAATACAGGGTGTCCATAAAGTTTGCCACAAGGAGGCAGTATTGGTTCCAAGTGGAATCACCTAGTACTTTCTGTGTAACCTTGGATGGTTAACCATAAGCCTCGGTTGCTTCTCTAAATTTAGGATAACATTTGGTAGTTGTGGGGTTTAAATGAGATAATGTAACTCTTAGCATCTTACCTGGCACAACTGCTTAGTGCATATTTGCTTTACTGTGGTACATTCCATTTTTTTCTTATTATAAATTGGGATTTGTTATCAGTGTGAGACTTAAGTGATTTTATGCAATTAAAAGTCGAAAAGAATTAAGAGGCCAGGCATGGTGGTTCACCCCTGTAATCCTAGCACTTTGGGAGGCTGAGATGGGAGGATCACTTGAGGTCAGTAGTTTAAAACCAGCCTGAGCCAGAGCAAGATCCCATCTCTACAAAAAATGGAAAAATTATCTAGCCCCAGTGGGTAGTCTCCTTGGGAGGCTAAGGCAGGAAGATTGCTTGAGTACAGGAGTATGAGATTGCATTGAGTTATGATGCAAAAAAGGAATTGAGGGTCTTGGATGAGGCTATCCAAGGTCAAATACTTGAAATGTTTGGGAAGATTGACCTAAAGGGCCTCAAATTTGCTCTAGTTAAATAGCAGCCCAAATTCCATATTTGGTGCATGAAGAAACCTTCAGCTTGAAACATAATTGTTGCCCAGTAACTGCCACATTAGATGATTAAATGTTTAAAATAATAATTAGGGGAGTCTTATGCCTGTAATCCTAGCACTCTGGGAGGCTGCAGTGGGTGGATTGCATGAGCTCAAGAATTTGAGACCAGCCAGAGCAAGAGTGAGACCCTGTTTCTACTAAAAATAGAAAAATTAGCTGGGCATTGTTGTGGACTCCTGTAGTCCCAGCTACTTGGGAGGCTGAGGCAAGAGGATTTCTTGAGCCCAGGAGTTTGAGGTTGGTGTGAGCTGTGTTGGTATGGCCATCACAGTATGGGATCAGAGTGAGACTCTGTCTCAAGAAATAACAGTTAGGTCAACCTTTTAAATCTATGAAATCTTGGCTCTTAATATCCTTACCCTAAGAGCTGGAAAGACCTGGAAGGGTCAGAATCCTGTCTTTCTTGGTGGAAGGCTGAATTTTAGGAGCACTTTCATTACTTTCCAACCTTCTTTCGCACCACTCTCACGTTTCCAAGGTCTAGGGCATGACTTGCACCTTTAATACCCTCAATGACCCTGATAATTGTCATTAACATGTTAATGTGCCTTGTATATTATTTATTGCCATAACTCATTCTTGGAGTCATCAACACCAAAATGTGCATTCTTTGGGCCTGTCTGAGCTAATTAGTTATTAGATGTAAAGCCATCTGATTTAACTAAATACAAACCTGAGAGATTAATGAACCCCTTTATTTCCCTTAATACGTTAGGAGCTTTTGCCCAATAACTCTGATTAGAGTGCAGTGGCAATCATCATTGCTCACTGCAGCCTCAAATGTGTAGGTTCAAGTGATGGATCCTTTTGCCTCAGCCTCCCAAGTAGCTGGGACTATAGGCTGTGCCACCATGCTAATCTTTCTATTTTTTTGTAGAGATAGGTTTTGCTCTTGCTTAGGCTGCTCTCAAACTTCTT